AGTAACGGGCAAACGGAGCGAACGAACCAGACCTTGGAGCAATATTTACGGTGCTTCTCTGCTTTTTCACAGGATGATTGGGCATCCCTACTCCCGTTGGCAGAATTTACCTACAACAATTCAGTCCATTCTGCTACAAACCAGTCACCATTTTGAGCCAATTATGGATTCCACCCTTCCTCCATACCTGACACCATTCCTGAAGCTTCGGTACCCGCAGTGCAGGACAGACTCTCCATGCTACAGAACGACTGTAAAGTCCTCCGAGAGTCTATACTGAAATCCCAGGCTGATAATAAGAAACACTATGAGAGGAAACGGAGAGGAAACCCTCCTCTGAAGATCGGAGACAAAGTTTGGCTATCAACTGCCAATCTAAAACTCCCTTGCCCGTCACGCAAGTTGGGTCCAAGGTACATTGGCCCTTTCTGGATCAAGAGGGTAATAAATCCAGTGGTGGTTGAGTTGTTCCTTTCTGAGTCATACAAGATTCACCCAGTTTTCCAAGTCTCCCTACTCAAGCCAGCTGTCCATGATCCTTTTCCAGGGAGAGTAGAACCACCTCCTCCGCCGATAACAGTTGGGGAGGAGAAGGCCTTTACAAGGAGCCTCATCACTTCTTCTGGTTGCTGAATGATCTCTAGCTCCCCGTGCCCTGTTCCTGGTTCCTGTGACCTGCGACTTCCTGATTCCGACTCGGCTTGCACTTGGGCTTGTCTGCTCTACTGACCCCCTGATCTGACCTCGGCTTGGCTTACGGATACTCTCTCTCTCACTCCTCCATGTATGACCTCAGCTATCCCATCTGACCACGTCTGCTCTGATTCCCACCTGGTACCTGACCTCGACTCGAACCGACTACCCAGTAAACATCCAAATCCCAGAAGGGCTTGCATACCACGCACAGGCGCCTCCTGTCTGCAGACCTATCTCCGTACACCAGCTGTGCTTCTGAGTGGACCACCAAGCAGCACTCCTACAGGTGACCTGTGCAACTTTGGGCCTGACTCCCGCTGTCCCACTCTCAGGGGAGTCCGGAACTTAGCTGCAAGGGAAGCCCTCTCTCCATTGGCCTCCATCACCAGGTATGTGATACCCACCATATTTCTATGTCGTCGGTGGGGTCCTCCTGGGTCTCCTCCCATATTTCTGTGTCAGCGGTGGGGTCCTCCTGGGTCTTCTCCCATATTTCTGTGTCAGCAGTGGGGTCCTCCTGGGTCTCCTCCCATATTTCTGTGTCAGCGGTGGGGTCCTCCTGGGTCTCCTCCCATATTTCTGTGTCAGCGGTGGGGTCCTCCTGGGTCTCCTCCCATATTTCTGTGTCAGCGGCGGGGTCCTCCTGGGTCTCCCCCCATATTTCTGTGTCAGCGGTGGGGTCCTCCTGGGTCTCCTCCCATATTTCTGTGTCGGCAGTGGGGTCCTCCTGGGTCTCCTCCCATATTTCTGTGTCGGCAGTGGGGTCCTCCTGGGTCTCCTCCCATATTTCTGTGTCGGCGGTGGGGTCCTCCTGGGTCTCCTCCAATATTTCTGTGTCGGCAGTGGGGTCCTCCTGGGTCTCCCACCATATTTCTGTGTCAGCAGTGGGGTCCTCCTGGGTCTCCCCCCATATTTCTGTGTCAGCGGTGGGGTCCTCCTGGGTCTCCTCCCATATTTCTGTGTCAGCGGTGGGGTCCTCCTCGGTGTCCCCCCATATTTCTGTGTCAGCGATTGGGGTCCTCCTCGGTGTCCCCCCATATTTCTGTGTCAGCGGTGGGGTCCTCCTGGGTCTCCTCCCATATTTCTGTGTCAGCGGTTGGGGTCCTCCTCGGTGTCCCCCCATATTTCTGTGTCAGTGGTGGGGTCCTCCTGGGTCTCCCCCCATATTTCTGTGTCAGCGGTGGGGTCCTCCTGGGTCTCCCCCCATATTTCTGTGTCAGCGGTGGGGTCCTCCTGGGTCTCCCCCCATATTTCTGTGTCGGCGGTGGGGTCCTCCTGGGTCTCCTCCCATATTTCTGTGTCAGCAGTGGGGTCCTCCTGGGTCTCCCACCATATTTCTTTGTCGGCGGTGGGGTCCTCCTGGGTCTCCTCCCATATTTCTGTGTCAGCAGTGGGGTCCTCCTGGGTCTCCTCCCATATTTCTTTGTCGGCGGTGGGGTCCTCCTGGGTCTCCTCCCATATTTCTGTGTCAGCAGTGGGGTCCTCCTGGGTCTCCTCCCATATTTCTGTGTCAGCAGTGGGGTCCTCCTGGGTCTCCCCCCATATTTCTGTGTCGGCGGTGGGGTCCTCCTGGGTCTCCTCCCATATTTCTGTGTCAGCAGTGGGGTCCTACTTGGTCTCCTCCCATATTTCTGTGTCAGCAGTGGGGTCCTCCTGGGACCTCCATTGGTAATGGGATTCATTCCTGTGGCGCACTCCACACATCCCGCCCTAAAGGCATCCAGACCAGAGACAGATTGGGACAGATTGGGACAGAATGGGGCCCTAGGCAAGGGTCCATTTATGTATCATAGGGCCCCATAGCTACATTTTGATGGTACCTTTCAGACAGTTGGCGGTGTCATTCATTGTAACCCCTTCCCATCTGGCCAATGTAGACAGGCGGCTGTGCAGATGCTCTACAGTTGTGGGGGGTTTGTACCCGTATGTCCCCCCACTCATGTGCCTCACAGGCGCCCCCTGGGGCCTCCAGTGGCGTGAGCTCTGACTGCTGTTTCCACCAGATCACAGCTGTGGGTATCAGACCGCTACGATTGGCCCACGTAGCATGTGATCTCTGTGACCAATCACATCGATCACATGGCCACTAGTAAACTGTCATGAATGGCATCCATTCACGGTAGCATGGTTTACTTTTGTGATCTCTGTGAGCGGTCACATGGTACAGGGCCAATCAAAGCGGTCACAAGGTACAGGGCCAATCACAGCAGTCACAAGGTACAGGACAAATCAAATTTGAATGCTGCGGCCAGACTCATCCACCTTACTAACCACTCTATATCTGCCACCCCCCTCTGCCAATCCCTCCACTGGCTTCCGATTGCCCAACGGATAAAATTCAAAACGCTAACACTGACGTACAAAGCTGTTCATAATACTGCCCCGAACTACATCACCAATCTTGTCTCCAAATACCACCCAAAACGTACTCTCCGCTCCTCACAAGACCTCCTACTCTCTAGCTCCCTTGTCCTCCTCCTCCCATGCTCATGTCCAGGACTTCTCCAGAGCTTCCCCCATCCTCTGGAACTCCCTACCCCAATCCATCAGATTATCACCTACTCTCCTCTCCTTTAGGCGCACCCTGAAAACCCATCTCTTCAGGGAAGCCTACCCCACCCCCTGCTAATTACCGACCTCCTCCACTCCTCCTACCACTCCATCCCCCACAGCTATCTCCTCCTGTACCACCATCCCCTCCCTCCTAGATTGTAAGCTCCAAGGAGCAGGGCCCTCAATCCCCTCATGTATTGCATTGTATTGTTACTGTACTGTCTCCCCCCATAATGTACAGCGCTGAGCAAACTGTCGGCACTATATAAATCCTGTATAATAATAATAAAAGCGGTGACAAGGTACAGGGCCAATCACAGCAGTCACATGTTACAGGGCCAATTACAGCAGTCACATGGTACAGGACCAATCACAGCGGTCACAAGGTACAGGGCCAATCACAATGTTCACATGGTACAGAGCCAATCACAGTGGTCACATGGTACAGGGCCAATCACAGCGGTCACATGGTACAGAGCCAATCACAGCGGTCACAATGGTAAAAAATGGAATATGAATGAAAGACATTCATGAAAGTTTAAAGAATTGCTTTACAGTGATCACTGTGATCACTTCTGACATCACCGCTTACTACGTACGTGTGAAATCTGTGAATGATCACATGGTACAGGGCCATTCACAACAGCCTTGTACCATGTGACAAGCTGTGACCAATCACAGCTCTCACAGTAGTTCTCAATGGCTGCAAGAATGCAGCCAGAGAGGAGAAATGATTCCTCTTACAGCCTTTATGGGTGTAACAGCAATCAGTGGAAAAAAAGAAAAAATAATAATCACCCCCCACAAGTAGTACAGTGTCACCATGGTGACATTCTACTGCTAGGGTGACAGTATGTAAAAAAAAAAAAATAAAAAAAAATAAAAATATAAAAAATAAAATGTAAAAAAAAAAGTTTAAAAAATTATAATTTTTGGTTATAAACTAATTTGGGGGGGTTTTGTACTAAAAAGATAGATGAATACATTTTGGCCGAGATTTATGATGAAATATTATTTATTTGCAAAATTTTATAAGAAAAACACTTTTTTTTTTAAATTTTTGGACTTTTTCATTTATATATCAAAAAAACTAAAAATCCCAGCAGTGAATAAATACCACCAAAATAACGTTTTATCCGTCTCAGAAAAATGCTAAAAAATTCATATGGGTACAGTGTTGTATGACCGCGCAATTGTCATTGAAAGTATGATAGCGCTGAAAGCTGAAAATTGGCCTGGGGGGGGGGGGGGGGGGTAGTGTCTGGACTGGAAGGGGGGGAAAGTGTCCGGACTGGAAGGAGGGGAAAGTGTCCGGACTGGAAGGGGGTGAAAATGTCCGGACTGGAAGGGGGGGAAAGTGTCCGGACTGGAAGGGGGTGAAAATGTCCAGACTGGAAGGGGGGGAAAGTGTCCGGACTGGAAGGGGGGGAAAGTGTCCGGACTGGAAGGGGGTGAAAGTGTCCGGACTGGAAGGGGGTGAAAATGTCCGGACTGGAAGGGGGGGGAAGTGTCCGGACTGGAAGGGGGGAAAGTGTCCGGACTGGAAGGGGGGGAAAGTGTCCGGACTGGAAGGGGGGAAAGTGTCCGGACTGGAAGGGGGGAAAGTGTCCGGACTGGAAGGGGGGAAAGTGTCCGGACTGGAAGGGGGGAAAGTGTCCGGACTGGAAGGGGGGGAAAGTGTCCGGACTGGAAGGGGGTGAAAGTGTCCGGACTGGAAGGGGGTGAAAGTGTCCGGACTGGAAGGGGGGGGGAAGTGTCCGGACTGGAAGGGGGGGGAAGTGTCTGGACTGGAAGGGGGGGAAGTGTCCGGACTGGAAGGGGGGGAAAGTGTCCGGACTGGAAGGGGGGGAAAGTGTCCAGGACTGGACGGGGGGAAAGTGTCCAGACTGGAAGGGGGGGGGGGGGGGAAGTGTCCGGACTGGAAGGGGGGGGGGGAAGTGTCCGGACTGGAAGGGGGGGAAATGTCCGGACTGGAAGGGGGTGAAAATGTCCGGACTGGAAGGGGGGGAGGAGTGACTGGACTGGAAGGGGGGAAAGTGTCCGGACTGGAAGGGGGGGGGGGGTAGGTAAGTGTCCGGACTGGAAGGGGGGGGAGTGTCCGGACTGGAAGGGGGGGGAGTGTCCGGACTGGGAGGGGTTAAACAGTAACCAGACCTGTCATCAGTGCCTTGGTGTTTGTTCCCATGAGCCTCTGTTACCTGTGATATGTAATCTGTGATCCGTTACCTGTGATCCGCTCCGTGTCCCGTCTTCCCCCCCCCTGCACCCCATGTTTGATCTCCTGTGTATGACCCGGCCAGCCCTGACTCCGCCTCTCTTGCTGTAGATGTATATATTGGGGGAAGATTTGGGTTATTTGGGTTTGTTTGGATGTACATTTCTGTATATTGGTGAATCTCACAATCATTTCTATTATTTGCATTATTCCTGAAGCCTGATAGTCCTGGTGTCAGTCCCCACATCTCTGCTCACATCCGGGTCACCGACAGCCTCCTCCCCACCTGCTTTACCCTCTTGGACCCGCACACACAAACCCCAATCACTTGAATGGGTCATGGGGGGTATAATTCCTGCCACAGCTGAAAAGCTGCTGCCCTCTGCAGCCAAAGGGGGTAGTGGCTGAGGGGTTGTAAAACGGAGGTCAAACCACAAGGTTTTACTGCCCCCCAACCTCATGTGTGAACTAGCCCTCATAGTACAACCAATCACAGATCTCCGATCACCACAGAAGTCCCGCTGTCACCAGACCAGGATACCCAGCAACAATGTTCCTGATTGTAAAGTAAACATAGTCTGCGCTATAACTAACCTCAACCTCTGTGTAAGAAAAATATTCAATACATAAATCAGTAGAAGTAAAAAAGTAAACATCTGACAGAGCCTCAATCAAACCGTAAGATGAACACCCAACAGGGCATGAATAGCTAATCTGTGCCCTATCCTAATAAAGGATACGACCTACTAATTATGGTGCAAAGTGACACAAAACGAACAAAAAAAGTGACACAAAACAATAAAAGTGAAACAAAACAACAAAAAAAGTGACACAAAACAATAAACAATAAAAGCGACACAAAAACAATAAAAGTGACACAAAAACAATAAAAGTGACACAAAAACAATAAAAGTGACACAAAACAAACAATAAAAGTGATGCAAAAAACAATAAAAAAGTGACACAAAAAAACAAGAAAAGTGACACAAAACAATAAACAATAAAAGCGACACAAAAAACAATAAAAAAGTGACACAAAACAATCAATAAAAAATAAAAAAGTGACACAAAACAATAAAAGTGTCAAAAGAAAAACAAAGTAAACACCCGGCTGACCCCCTGCCAGGGGGTGTAAAACACTACAAATGAGGCACGGAACACGTGACAAATGTGACAATAAATCATAGGTGGATAAATAGTAATACAATAAAGTGGAAACAATAAAGCTGATAAAGTGACAGTTGGTAATGGCAGCAGATCCACAATGTGTAATTCGGTGAATCTTCCCCTTCGGTGATATCCACCACCAGGCATCCACGCTCACCACAGATTGGCCGACATCACATAGGTCACGCTAGGCAATTCCTCGTTCCTCCATCTTGGCTGCTGAAAACTCCTCTCCTCTGGCTCAGGAAGTGAGCATGCGCAGTTTTGGATCTGGCTATTTAGCAACCAGCTGAGCTCAGCTTGGCTCTGCATGGGCGGGGTCCACTGGTGGTCACATGTGCGGTGATGTTATGGCGCTTGGTGCCTTTCCCTCCCCCCCCAGGGCCCGGTTGTAAGTGCGACCTTTGCGACCATGGTAGTTCCACCACTGTATATATATCACTGGTCATCTCAGGTTTGGTGAAGATCACGGATGTTCCGTGGCACCCCTGGGACGCTGCTCTGTGATTGGATGAGACAAGAGGGGGACTTCCTGGTAAAGATGCGGAATTCTGTTTAAATTTTAAACAAATAAAAATCTGATTACATTAAATAAATTAATTTTAATTTGATTTTAAAAACTGCAAAATAGAACCCAAACCTCAACCTTTAGCCCCTCAACCTTCAGCCCCTCAACCTTCAGCCCCTCAACCTTCAGCCCCTCAACCTTCAGCCCCTCAACCTTCAGCCCTTCAACTCAACCTTCAGCCCCTCAACCTTCAGCCCCTCAACCTTCAGCCCCTCAACCTTCAGCTCCTCAACCTTCAGCCCCTCAACCTTCAGCCCCTCAACCTCCAGCCCCCTCAACCTCCAGCCCCTCAACCTTCAGCCCCCCTCAACCTCCAGCCCCTCAACCTTCAGCCCCTCAACCTTCAGCTCCTCAACCTTCAGCCCCTCAACCTCCAGCCCCTCAACCTTCAGCCCCTCAACCTTCAGCCCCTCAACCTTCAGCCCTTCAACTCAACCTTCAGCCCCTCAACCTTCAGCCCCCTCATCTGTCAGCCCCTCAACCTTCAGCCCCTCAACCTTCAGATCCTCAACATTCAGCCCCTCAACCCCTCAGCCCCTCAACCTTCAGCCTGCTTCCTCGGGGGGCCGGCTCATGGAGACCACATGCAATCATTAATGCTTTCATCTTGTGGTCCTGTTGTCCTGACAACGTATCAGTGGGTGTGGCCTGTGTGCACCACCACCCATCCCATCCCCCTCCCTAAATCACTTTCTTTCATCTATAAGTTCCTATCGCAGACGATGTGCGTTTAGCGGGCCCCTGAGATTCGCCCGGGCGGCGAGGTCAGGGGGTCTCCTTCACACCGACTCCAAGGCCAGACCTCAGTCCCACCGAAATGCTGAAGCAGGCTGTTGGAGGAAGATATGGAATGACGATCTCTGGGCATCGAGGATCCCATCCATCTTGGCCAACAACCCTTCACTTTACCCTTTTCTCCTAACCCTAATCTGTGGTCATGTGATGGGCGGGGTCTCGAGTCTTCTATCTGCAGAGTGGGAGGGGGTCTGGGTGATGTGGACACTTCCTATTGGCTGGCCAGCAGCACCTCTGAAGGTACGCTGTGGTCCCTGGCCGTCAGTAGAAGATCCTTTAAGTCCTGTAAGTTGGGAGGCGGGGCCTCCAGCACATCCCACAGATGCTGGATCTGGAGAATTTGGAGGCCAAGTCAACACTTCAAGCTCGTTGTTGTGTTTCCTCAAACCATTCTTGAATTCAGCAGAGCAGCCCACCTTCTTCCATGGCTCCGTGGCCCAGTGCTGATGTTCTTGTGTCCATTGTTGGAGCTTTTGTCTGTGGACACGGGTCAGCATGCGGCCCCTGACCGGTCTGCCGCTACACAGCCCCCCCCCCCCCCCCCCCCCCCCCCCCCCATACACCACAAACTGCCATGAACACAGCAATCGGATTCATTGTGATTGTCTCACAGATGGCGGCCCCGACCTCCGACTATTCCTCTGCGGTACGCTCATGTTACGTGTCAGCTCTGTGTCTGTATCAGAATCATGGGGACTCTGATATTAGGAGGGACTCTGATGTAAGGAAGGACTCTGATGGGGACTCTGATGTACGGGGGGACTCTGATATTAGGAGGGGCTCTGATGTAAGGAAGGACTCTGATGGGGACTCTGATGTACGGGTGGACTCTGATATTAGGAGGGGCTCTGATGTAAGGAAGGACTCTGATGGGGACTCTGATGTACGGGGGGACTCTGATATTAGGAGGGGCTCTGATGGGGACACTGATGTAAGGGGGGACTCTGATGGGACCTAGATATAAGGGGGGGCTCTGATGGAACCCTGATGTAAGGGAGGACTCTGATGGAACTCTGATGTAAGGGGGGACTCTGATGGAACTCTGATGTAAGGGGGGACTCTGATGAGGACCCATATGTAAGGAAGAACTCTGATGGTGACACTGATGTAAGTGGGACCCTGATGTAAGGAAGGACTCTGATGTGGACCCTGATGTAAGGGGGGACTCTGATGAGGACACTGATGTAAGGAGGGAGTCTGATGGGGACACTGATGTAAGGAAGGACTCTGATGTAAGGGGGGGCTCTGATGGGGACACTGATGTAAGGAGGGGCTCTGATGTGGACACTGATGTAAGGGGGGACTCTGATGGGGACAGTTGATGTAAGGGGGGACTCTGATGGGGACAGTTGATGTAAGGGGGGACTCTGATGGGGACAGTTGATGTAAGGGGGGACTCTGATGGGGACTCTGATGTAAGGAGGGACTCTGATGGGGACTCTGATGTAAGGAGGGACTCTGATGTAAGGGGGGACTCTGATGGGGACACTGATGTAAGGAGGGACTCTGATGTAAGGGGGGACACTGATGTAAGGAGGGACTCTGATGGGGACACTGATGTAAGGAGGGACTCTGATGTAAGGAGGGACTCTGATGGGGACTCTGATGTAAGGAGGGACTCTGATGGGGACTCTGATGCAAGGAGGGACTCTGATGTAAAGGGGGGACTCTGATGTAAGGGGGGACTCTGATGGGGACACTGATGTAAGGAGGGACTCTGATGTAAGGGGGGACTCTGATGTAAGGGGGGACTCTGATGGGGACACTGATGTAAGGAAGGACTCCGATGGGGTCAGTGATGTAAGGAGGGGCTCTGATGGGGACACTGAGCTCAGGCAAGGGGCGGGCAGTGCGCTCGGCGTCCAGCAGGGGGAGCCCGCCCCCCATCTCTCCCTCCGGCAGTCACGTGAGTTAAATGTCCCAGCAGGGGCGGCACGTGACTGCAGCGGGGCGCGCTCTCGGGAGCCGGTACCGGCGGAGGCGCGCGGGGTGTCAGCGGATTGCCTCATGCCGGGGCTGGCCGGTACCGGGGCGCCATGACGGAGAAGAACGGCGAGTGTGAGTGGGGGGAGGAGGAGGAGGACGGGGAGCGGAGCCGGTGTCGCCGCCGCCCGGAGATGAGTCTGGAGCTGACCGCTTCTCTCCCCGGAGCCCGGCTCACCGGAGGACGAGGATGAGGAGGCGGACAGATTGCCGGTCCCGGGCCGGAGGAGGACCCGATCCAGCACCTCCCGGCCCCGCTATGAGGTCGTCACCGAGCTGGGCCCGGAGGAGGTCCGATGGTTCTACAAGGAGGAGCGGAAGACATGGAAAACCGTTCATCGGATCCGACTCTCTGCGGGTGGAGCGCGCCTACCGGAGACTGCTGGACGCCGGGGAACCGGAGGGGGCGGAGCCTGAGACTACCGGGCCGGTGTGTGTGCGGAGCGGGCTGTACGAGGTGGACGTCACCGAGGGGGAGTGTTACCCGGTGTACTGGAACCGTGAGTACCTACCGACCTACCCCTCCCCCACCACTTACCGGACACCGACCACCCCATATACCCCACCAACCGGACACTGACCTACCGACCACCCCTCCCCCACCGAGGGGGAGTGTTACCCGGTGTACTGGAACCGTGAGTACCTACCTACCGACCCCCCACCTACCGGACACCCCTCTCCCACCACTGACCAGACACCTCCCCCCATATACCCCACTGAGGGGGAGTATTACCCGGTGTACTGAAACCGTGAGTACCATACCGGACAGCGACCTACCAACCACCCCTCCCCCACCACCTACCGGACAGCGACCTACCAACCACCCCTCCCCCACCACCTACCGGACAGCGACCTACCAACCACCCCTCCCCCACCACCTACCGGACAGCGACCTACCAACCACCCCTCCCCCACCACCTACCGGACAGCGACCTACCAACCACCCCTCCACCCCCCCCACCTACCGGACAGTGACCTACCAACCACCCCTCCCCCCACCACCTACCGGACAGCGACCTACCAACCACCCCTCCCCCACCACCTTTTCGGACAGCGACCTACCAACCACCCCTCCCCCACCACTGACCAGACACCTCCCCCCATATACCCCACTGAGGGGGAGTATTACCCGGTGTACTGAAACCGTGAGTACCTACCGGACAGCGACCTACCAACCACCCCTCCCCCACCACTTACCGGACACCGACCACCCCATATACCCCACCAACCGGACACTGACCTACCGACCACCCCTCCCCCACCGAGGGGGAGTGTTACCCGGTGTACTGGAACCGTGAGTACCTACCTACCGACCCCCCACCTACCGGACACCCCTCTCCCACCACTGACCAGACACCTCCCCCCATATACCCCACTGAGGGGGAGTATTACCCGGTGTACTGAAACCGTGAGTACCATACCGGACAGCGACCTACCAACCACCCCTCCCCCACCACCTACCGGACAGCGACCTACCAACCACCCCTCCCCCACCACCTACCGGACAGCGACCTACCAACCACCCCTCCCCCACCACCTACCGGACAGCGACCTACCAACCACCCCTCCCCCACCACCTACCGGACAGCGACCTACCAACCACCCCCTCCCCCACCACCTTTTCGGACAGCGACCTACCAACCACCCCTCCCCCCACCACTGACCAGACACCTCCCCCCATATACCCCACTGAGGGGGAGTATTACCCGGTGTACTGAAACCGTGAGTACCTACCGGACAGCGACCTACCAACCACCCCCCCCCCACCACCTACCGGACAGCGACCTACCCCCATCATCATATACCCCACAGAGGGGGATTGTTACCCGGTGTACCCGTGACTACCTACCGACCACCCCTTCCCCACCACCTACCCGACACCGACCCCCACCATACCCCACGGAGGGGGACTGTTACCCAGTCTACTGGAACTGTGAGTACCAACCGACCACCCCTACCTACCCGACACCTACCCCCCCATATACCCCACTGAGGGGGAGTGTTACCTGGTGTACTGGAACCGTGAGTTCCAACCGACCACCCTCCCCCCCCCCCCCCCCCCCCCCCCCCCCCCCCCTTACCCACCCGACACCCACCCCCCATATACCCCACTGAGGGGGAGTGTTACCCGGTGTACTGGAACCGTGAGTTCCAACCCCCCCCCCCCCCATGAGTACCAGACACCCCTTCCCAACCACCTACCGGGCACCCCTTCGGCACCACCGACCCTCCCACTGGACACCAACCTAACCACCCCCCCGACCTCACACTGACCACCTACCGGACACCAACCTACTGACCACCCCTCACTGGACACCTACTGGATACCGACCTACTGAGCACCCCTCCCCCACCACTTACCAAACACCTACTGGACACCCCTCCCCCACTATCTACTGGACATCGACCTACCAACCACCCCTCCATCACCTACCAGCCTACCGACCACCCCACCGAGGGGGAGGGTTACCCCGTGTACTGGAACCGTGAGTACCTACTGACCGGACAGCAGGAGCAGGAAAGGGTAACAAAGCTAAACTCCTCAAGTGTTGTCACCCCGGGAAGGGAAGTTCCTGTAAGAATTTGGTTGTGATCTGAGTGTGGCAGATATCTGAGCTTTGGGGTGGAACACGAGCAACTCCGTGATTGGGTAAAGTCGCCAGGTCGCGGATGGTCGCCGGGTCGCGGATGGTCGCCGGGTCGCGGATGGTCGCCGGGTCGCGGATGGTCGCCGGGTCGCGCGATGGTCGCCAGTGGTCTTCAGTGAGGTAGTGCTGGGCCTCGGCTCTGGTGGCAGCTCCACTCATGGAGGATTGGTGGGGCCCTTCAGATGTTCTGACATTTTGGAATCTACAGTCAGTTCCAGAACAATAATCACTTTATTGGTGCAAACATAAAACCCGAGACTCTCCGTACATTGACTGCAATCCCCCCGTCCACCAATGTACCCGACTGGAGCCCTGAGGAGGGGAGGCCCCAATCACCTGTAACATGTTACATCGATAAACGTAGAATTGTTCTCGACTGGTCTGGAGTTTCCAAGACACCTCACTCCTCAACCGGTCCCAGTATGTATGACGGCACCTCCAGAGTCCCCCCCACCTTCATCTCACCATTCCTGGATTACAGTCCTACCTGACCCTCCCGCGGGTCTCCTCCAGGCGCCCTCCCGTGGGTCTCCTCCTAGGGCCCTCCCGCGGGTCTCCTCCCAGGCGCCCTCCCGCGGCTCTCCTCCCAGGCGCCCTCCCGCGGCTCTCCTCCCAGGCGCCCTCCCGCGGCTCTCCTCCCAGGCGCCCTCCCGCGGCTCTCCTCCCAGGCGCCCTCCCGCGGCTCTCCTCCCAGGCGCCCTCCCGCGGCTCTCCTCCCAGGCGCCCTCCCGCGGCTCTCCTCCCAGGCGCCCTCCCGTGGGTCTCCTCCAGGCGCCCTCCTCGGTTCAGTTGCCATGTTCCTCAGATGTCTATCTCATAGAAGGTCCCTCTTAGACCTTCAAGCCAGATAGTCATCTCCATCCCCCGGTATCCATCTTGTGTCTTTGTTTCTTCCCTGTCCACTCCAATGTTCTCTTTCTGAAAGGTCCCCTCTCTGCCCCACCCCCCCACCCCACCCCACGCCTCTCCTCCTCCCCTGGCTGTTACCTCCAGGATCTCCATGCTCCCGGTGCCTTGAGAGCGGATTTTTCTACATACAACCTCCTCCCCCTCCTGTTCATGTGACCCCCTCCATGTGACCCTCCTGGTGACCCCCTCCATGTGGACCCCTCCTGGTGACCCCCTCCATGTGGACCCCTCCTGGTGACCCCCTCCATGTGAACCCCTTCTGGTGACCCCTGGCCTCCTGTCATTGGATGGGTTCAGCACCTTTCTCCCCATCCCTGGGTTTCATGTGTTCTCCATTCTCTCTGGGATCCTCCACTCTCCCCTCTGAAGACCCCCCATCTCTTCCCTCCTGGCACCCCCGGGGTACCCCAAGTCCCCCCTCATTTATTAGACAGATTTCTATTCCCGTCACCCAGAGTGGAAATCTCTCCATCTGTCACTGCTGTTGTCACAGCGGGGGAGGGGGGTAGCCCCTATGTCACTTTATTGGATTTGGGGGGGTGCCCCCTTTATTTTCTATATTTTTTCCGTTGGTGGTTGGTTGGGGGGGGGGGTGTCACTTTCGTTACCTCCATTGCAGGGGGGCTGGCAGGGTAGAGGGGGAAGACATGGGGGGCACCCTTTGCTCTTCATGTCACCTGCTGCTCCCCCACCTTATTCCTCGTCACCTTATAGGGGGGTGCACCCCATGTGACTTCCATTGGTAGGGAAAGGGCCGCCCCCCACCTCTGGGAGGAGGGGGGTCTATGACACTTTATCTTTGGGGGGGGGTAGATCTTGTGCCTCGGGGGATGGGGTGGAGACATCGCCTCTCGTTAGTGTCGGGCCGGCCCCTGTACTGCACAGTGGAGATTGTCCAATCAGATTGCATGGTGTGTGGTCACCTTTCCCCGGATACTTTGTAACAAGTTTTTCCCTTCTCTTCCTGTAATGATGAATGGAACCGATGCGGGGATATAGTCGCCGTGACGTCTGCTTCTCCCCTCCCCCGAGGATCGTCATTGCCTCCAACATTGGTGTCGTCGGTCCTCTGGAGATTCGGGACCTGCAGATCATGACACCCGCCAGCCACACCCCTCCCCCCCCCCCCCCCCCCATAGACCTCTGACCTCCGCGACATGAGTGTCAGCTCTTCCTTCGAGGGCGTTCCAGGATAAACGTACAAATGGCGGCAGATTCGCTGTGACCCCGACCGCTAAAATCTTCCGGAAACGTTCGTTCATCTGCAGCTCGCAATAGTGAACCCCCCTGAGATGACCCAATGTTACCCCTAGGGGGCGTCACCGCAGGGGGGCAGTTCTAGAGAAGGTGGGGTGCCCCCATGTCACTGCATTGGTTGTGGGGGGTCCCATCTCTGTCACTCCTATCACCTCCATTGGTAAGGGAAGGTGGGGGGCGGGCTGGTGTCACTCCTGTAACTTCCTGTTCTGGGTGACAACACTCTGTGCCCGCCTCTTGTGTTGTCACCCTGTCATCCGTTCTACCAATGATGACTACAAGCCCCGGAGTGGTAATTCAGAATACAAACACGGGCAGCTGTTGTCACCTTCAGGAAGACACCCCCCCCCCCCCCCTCAGCTCGGCCACTGGAGGGGCTGTATAAAATGAAAGCTTTTTTTTTTTTAATCTGGGTGGGGGGGGGGGGGGGTTCTTTTGGTTTATTTAGGTTTTTGTTTGTTTTGGGGGTTTAGGGTTTTTTGAGTTTGTTTTAGGGTTTTTTTTGTTTTTTTTTTAGATTCTTGGGGGCTTTTTGCTTGTTTTTTGGGGGCGTTTAGGGTTTTTTTTGGGGGGGTTTTTGGTTTTGTTTTGGGTTTTTTTTTAGATTCATGGGGGTTTTTTGGGGTTTGTTTTTAGGGTTTGTTTGGGTTTTTTATTTTTTGGGGGGGTAGGTTTTTTTTTTTTTT